TACCTGCTGACACACATAATCCCATTGAGCGTTGAGTTCTCTGAGTTCTGCTTCAAGCCTGGATGCAAACTCTGGCTCCGCCTCATGCTTTATTTTCTGCCCACCTTCATTGACACTGTTCAGACTGGGCTGAATTGTTTGAATATCATTGACTAAAAGCTAAGGAAATCATTAAATTTAGGTTGGCTGAAAAAATTATCACCATGTATTAGAAACGCGACACAGAAAAGAAACGTACAATTTTAGGAATCATGACATCGCATATGGATTTTGTCCTTAAAATCTGAAACACATATAACTACAGCTATAGATACAGATGTATTGGGTCATTGGGAAAGCCATGACACACTTTTGCATAAACAAAGAAAACTACATCGTGACTTTCCTGACGACCTGATAGACATCCACATCAGTCTTGCAAAAATTAACATGTTCAGTGGTTATTATGGTATAATAAAAGTAGAGAATAACCTGCATTGTACTTCTATCAGAAACAAAAAGAAATAACTTTAATATTTCTTGTTTAAAAATGTGTGAAAATGATGGGCTTTATACATTACTTTTTCTGAAAGGATTTTGGTTTTCAAATACAGGATATTGCAGCAATTATTTATAGCATGATGGGTGTGAAGGTTATTTGGAAGGTAGATTTGCTTTTTTTAGTGTGTATTTGAAAAGAAAGTTCTTTAAAGAGCTAGGTTATTTTCTTCCTAATACATGACAATGGTACAATGAATACCATTTCAAAAATCCATATTGTGTTATATTATAGTGTAGTGCATTCATTATGTAGGGAGGGAACAATACAATATGAATATCTATGATAAGATATAACAAACTGCTCAAATGGTTCTTTCCTTTTAAATTACACTGCATTTTATATTAAAAATAATCCTCTAAAGTGAGTTTTGAGTAAAAGGCAGTATTTTCTTTTTTTTTTTTTTTTTAAGTTTTGCTATAGGGTACATGTGCTCACCCGAAATAAAGAGAGGGAGGGAAACTGGGAAGCTACTCCACAGGGAGGAAGACCACAAAACAATCCTTTATCCTCCAGTCTCCTCAGGATTTGGCGGACACAGGCACATGCACCTGGCATGATGGTCAAGCTGCCAGGTCTGAGACTTGAACTGCGCAGTCGGCCATGTGGAACCCAGTGCCTTAACCTCCATGTCATCTGCTTGCCCTGTTCTTTCTGTTTTGTTTTGTTTTAACCCAGGCTTGCTCAGCATTGGCACTGACATTGTGAACTGTGTAGTTCTTTGTTGTGGGGGACTGTGACACTGTAGTATGGTTAGTAGCATCTTAGCCTTTACCCAATAGAAACAAGTAGAATACATCCTCCCCAAGCTGTGACAATCAAAAATGGCTGTAGACATTGCAAAATGTCCCTTGGGGAGGCCTAATCATCCCAGTTGTAAACCAGTGACCTAATCAAATAAAATTACTTATACGAAATTCTTCATATAAAAGGCATCATATAAAAATCTTACTCTGCACTGTTTCAGCTGTTTTTTTAGAATTTCTGAATCCCCAAGGGCAGGCCATTCCTCCTTCAGGAAAACATCAACTTCAGCCATCCATTTCCTCAGGGTTTTTATATGATTCTGAAAAAAAAAAAAAGTCATTATTGGGGTGCTGATTGCTTCTAACACACTTCATCACAGTGATATGTCTAAATACAAGCCCAGAAACAATTCCCATGTTTGAAGGATGTCTCTAAGTAGCTCTTCAGGAAAAGAGTATTTTTACTAAGACTGTATTTTTATGGTCTACTGTATGAGCACTGGTGTATGAAGTCTGCTATTGTTAAAAATAAAAAATTACTGCCAAATGTGGTTTTATGATGTTACTCTCGAGAACATTAAATCATATCCCCCTCTAGAGAAATTTTAAGTTACAAAACAACTCATGATAATACTAACAATGTGCCCTTACAGTACATAAAACAAACTATGAACAATAAACTCAATGTAATGGTGTCTTTATAGCTTCCCTAAACCTGAGCTTCCACAAATTGTTTCTACAGTTGACAGTTTAAATAGTCCCTCCAGTTGGAAACTTTCAAAGCAAGATTTTGTCATTTTTAAAAAGAAAGATTTTGTTTTTAATTTCTTGCTTTCTTGATCCATTTCAAGTAGTGAGCAGGTAAAAAATGTCATCTTTTATCATTTATAAATAGCCATGTATGTACCATTATTTCAAGATCTTGGGTACATGTGCTGGCATGTTTCAGGTTGACTTGAGATCCAAACCCATGGTTGATCAAGTGACTTCCAGCATTGTAGATTATTGCTACCAGCAGTGCCGCAGAGGATGGGCCAGCTCCTCTTTTGGGTACCTGTTTCAGTCTTAAAACACTCTAATCATTTCTACTCATTGGTGCCAGTAATCAGAAAACACTCTCATGGGACCAGCAGTTAGCTTAATGGCTATGTGGCTGAACTCCCATGTAGCTGACCATGGTTTGAGTCCCAGACCCGGTGGCTTAAACTCACGCTGGGCGCGTGTGTGTGCGTGCCCAAAATCCTGAGAGGAGAATGGAGAAGGGAATGCGGTATGGCCATCCCCCCTGGGGGGTGATTTCTCGCTTTTGGTCTCTCTGTCTCTCTCTGTTTTTCCAGCGAGCGCACATACCCTATAGCAAAAACCTCTAAAAAAGAAAAGAAAAGAAAAGAAAAGAAAAGAAAAGAAAAGAAAAGAAAAGAAAAGAAAA